GGGGGGGGAATAAAGTGAAACTTTACAATGGTGGGAGCTTTATGAAATTGTGAATTTAAAATTGCATGTTAAAATCGTTTTTTATTAAAAAAAACATGTTAAAAACTGTTTGATTTGCTATTAATTGTTTATTTTATTATGTAATTTTAAAAATTAAATAATAAAATTCGCGCTATTTGATAAAGGTAATTTTATTTATTAAGTGTTTAATTTTAATAATAATAATTAAGCAAGATTTTTAATAATAATAATATTTTTTTACTGATAAAAAATTATAGTAATAATCTAATATTTATTTAGAACATTTTCAACAACTATGCTAAAATAAAAAAAGAGTGATTTTAACAGTTTTTTTGCTCCAACAATAGTTATGCTATCTTGTATGCTAGAATAGAGAAAGGAGAAAGAGATTATAAAAATCTCTAAATTTAGAGAAAACTCTAAATAAAGAGAAATTATTATTTTTACTTTCCTACCAATAAAAAGTATTGAAAATAAATGTTTAGTAGAGAGAAAAAAATTTATTATATGCATTAAATATTTTAATAATATAGTTAATGTTAGAATTGATAAAATAGAGTAGCTGTTGGAGTTGGATACAATTATTTTTAGAAATTTTAACTTTTAGTACTTTATTTTAGAAAAAAAATATAGTATAAGATGTTCTTAAAAAAACAAAAATCATTAAGTTATGATGATTGAGTAATAAAATAAAATAAATAAATAAATTATTAAATGGTTGTTTTTTTTACTTCTTAATAGTTCTATTAAGAGACAATATCTGAATCGTTAAAAAGTGAATCTTGTTCGACAAAAAAAGATATGTCTCTTAATAATTCTAAAATCCTTTGAATAATTTTGCATATCGGTCTCCCTTAACCATTCAGCATCCGAATTTTATTGTAAATAATTACCAAACAATTATATTTTATTTTGCATAATATCATGAGAATCTCTAAATCATTCGGCAATTATCCAACACTCTCTAAGTAATGATTAATGATAGATAGGTGTTGAGATAGCATTTAGATATGTGTTCAAATAGAATCACCTAAAAAATTGCAAGGGATAATTTTTTTAATAAAAATTGTTTTATATCACATCATGTTTTTTTGATCTTTTATGAATTATGTTTATAAAACACCTACGAATAATTTATTGAATAAGATTTTAGTTATAAAAAATATAAATAATTTGATTGTTAATTAATATTGATTTAATTTTATTTTATTAAATTATAAATTCAAAATTATACATGATTTTCTTATAATTTAGCATTAATATATCAACGAATATTAAAAAATACAAAATATAATTATACTACAATAGAAGAAAATAATACATAATAGAAATATCAATTTAATATAAAAATTAAATCACCGTTTGTTGAAAGTTCTTGAAGTTTATATTTGTACAATCTTATTTAGACCATTCACATAGGGCTTGCAAGACCCTTTCAAAATGAATTGTAAATGACTACTTCACCAAAGTCTTGCCTGACTTGTAAATTTTGCAATTGTTGTTACAATGCCACCTAGACCCAACAAACTTTTTTAATATTTAAAATTAATTATTCTTATTTAAAAAAATATATATATATATATATATATATATTATTTTTTAAATAAAATATAAATACAGTCATAATAAATATGTTTAATTGATATACTTAAATTAATTTAAACATTAAATTTTATCATCACCTAAAATTAAAATTATACATATTAAAACATACAATATTGATAAAATTACATATAATATAATCTAATACACACGATTTGAAGGAGAAAAAAACAATGATTAATTGTGTCACGTCAGCTTTTGCAGTTACCATCTATACACATACAATTGACCTATACTTTTAATAGTAGTCCACACTACAACATCTATTAATTACTTTATAAATAATTATATATATTCTAATTATCTTTTATAAATACATGATACTTAATTCTTTATTTTTATTCAATGTTTTCATAAATAGATGATATAATAATATATTATAATTATTTTATAATTCATTGTTTTAATATATATATATATATATATATATATATATATATATATATATATATATATAAAATAGTTTCTCATGTTATGCATGGTGAGTAGTTAACCTTTTTTATGGAATGTTTACATTTTGTCATGTTAATTTTATTGGTTAAGTGGGCAATTTTTTTACATATTTATTAAATTTTCCTTTAAGAAATTAAAAAACGTTACATATATTATTCACGTTTTCTCCCTAAGATCACACCATGATTGGCCTTCGGCAGACCTAGGAATTTGTTATACCCCGGTAAAAGTCGGTCAATAAGTCAATAGTATAAATAGGTGAGGGGATTAAAGGGAAAGGCATTCTGTTTGTAAACACTGGTTGAGCGGGAAACCGTTTTGGGAGAGTCCCAACTCCCATGGCTCTCGAAAGCCTGTGGAGATTGTAATCATTCAACAAATTCAAGTAATCCAACGGATTGACCATTAGTGTAATATCAAATGTATATGTGCACTTCGATTCAGGGAGAATGACGACTTGATTCGAAGATTTGAAGAGCTGTGAAGATTTGGAATACGTGTGGGCGAAATTTAGGTCTATAAACAAAAATATGCAGACGATGGAGAAGATGATGAATTACAAGAAGACATACTGAAAAGATCGCTGAAGAGAACCTTTCAAAAGGACTCGGATTCTGGTCTTGGAAAGAGTATAGGAATTTGAAATGACAGTGTCGAGAAGTGAAACTCATCACTACCTCGTAAGTGCGTTGAGACCATAGCATGTTACAGGAAAGCGCTGCTTTCTCCCTAGTATTGTCACACAGCTGCCCGCCTAGAAGAGCCACTTGCTCTGTAGTGTTGTCACACACACAAGATAAGCACGCTGCCCGCCTGCTGGCCGGGCGAAGTAAATAGTATATAATAGTAATAGTAAATTCTATGCTCCCTGGTTCAGGTACGTAAAAGTCCACATCCAAGAACGAATACAGTTTCAAATCCGAATCCAGATATGCGTTCTGAATCCAGATCCGTATCTAGATCCAAATCCAGACCTGAATCCAAAATTAGATCCGAATTTTGAATTTGGAATGGCTATGGACGAGGAAGCAATTAAAGGAGAGCATTCTAATAATGAAGGCGATGATGAGAGGAAAAAGAAGAAAGGAGAAATTACATGGATTAGAAGCCGATTCAACAAGGGTAGAATTTTCTGGAGTGACTTTCACAGAAAACCGCCGATGGAAAAAGGAGATCAAGGCCAAGGAGGAATGATTGAGTTGGTGAACCATCCCCGTTGTTACCACTCTCTCCGCTCTTACCGTCGCTATCGCTGGCATTTTTGCTCTCGTCGTTTCCTCTACCGTCGAGCGGGACACATGCCACAAAACAATCCGTCGCTGGGCCCAGTTGGAGGATAAGGTTAATCTGACGTTTCATCACCCGTTAATCGAAGAGATTGGTTGACTTCTCACCATCCATCGTCCAAATCTTCAAGTTCTATTCCAGGATTAAGGCCAACATTGACGGAATTGAAACGGTTGGTGAATCGCCACAAAGAAATCGCAATCGCAAATGAAACGAGTTTGTTTCTTTCTGAGTTAGGCCCTTGGCGCATTAACATGAGTTTTGATAGTGGGATACACGTGGAAGTTGCTTAGAAGAAAGGTCAAAATTTGTTGGATTCCTCAAAGTGAAGGGCTCTGCACTGGTTAGGCAATGTTCATGGGGAACCACTGCCTACCTCCACCACCTTCAAAAGCCATCAATGTAATGCGTTTACACCGGAATTTTCATACCTTGAGGACAAGGTGAAAGTTACAATCTCCACAGGCTTTCGAGAGGCCAGGGACCAGGGACCAGGGACGGACCCAAAAAAAAAAAATTAAACGGTGCCGCCATTTGACCATAAGAAAAATATAATTTTTTTTTTCAAACAGTGACACCGTTTGACTAAGAAAATGACACTAATATGATTCGGACTTGGGTGTGGGGTGGAATAAAAGCCTTGCAAACCAACTTTACCAAAAAAACTTATTCTCATTGTAGTTTCAAAATACATACAGTAGCACACAACAAATTAATATGGTTGTACAGTTCATGAAACCTAAATTTTTTACCCTTCGGCGGAGAAACGATACGGTGGCACGTGCCACCCATGACACTTAATTAGGTCCGCCCACGCCTGGGACTCTCCCAAAACAGTTTCCCGCTCAACTAGTGTTTACAAAATAGATTGTCTTTTCCTTTACCACTTGACCCCAGGTTTTACGAGCGATTGCACCTTTAAAGTGGGTTAAAGGAACTACAAGGGTGGTGCCGGATTAGTTTGAGCTTGGCTCCAAAGGTCAAAAGTACCTCGAGGTCCCAGGTTCAAATCTAATGAGTAATAAAAATCCCCTTCCTCCTTAGTCGTTTGTGTCCGATAAAAGGTGCATCAAATGACAACTCTCTAAAAAACCATAGTAGCTTTTTAAAAGTTGGTTCTTACGAGTTCTTTTTAGTTTGACACATGTCTTCTAAAAAGTGCATTTTTGTCTTTATCGGCTGACAACTTTCTAATAGGATTTTACAATGTCTTTTTTTATTTAGAATTCATCGTAACTTGTAAATTTGATATAAGATTCAAAAATAGAAGCATGAAATCGATATAAGATATAAAAACAGAAACATGAAATCGATATAAGATTCATAGGGAACACTGAACTTAATATGAAATGCAATTACAACTATGGAAAGTCATTTCGAATAAACATAAACATGGAAAATTTATAACAAAGATATGAAATACATGGTGGCGGTAGTGTTGATGATCGTTATGGCCCTTACTTATATAAACAAATCATAAATCGGGAATAAAAAATCATCATTATCATTGAAATCAGACGGATGAGCTTGGGTGCTATAGCTGTCGGAAGACTTACATGACGCTCTTTAAGCCAACACTTCCACTGGTAACTCATTTGGACAATTATTGCGAGTATGTGCAGGCTTTCCACATCAACCATATTTTTTCTTGATCGAACCCTTACATGATTGGCCTGCTCTGCCTTTGTTCATGAAAGATTCTACAACAATCCTGTATTCATTAGATAACAACCAATGAGATGTCGGCCCCACATGAATCACATGTTCCGTGCACATAGCTGATAGACTTCGAATGCGAAATAGGACATGGCTAAATGTGATGCATCGTTCTTTTTGTAGCATTTGAACATCAGCGTTATCACATGACCACATAGTAACCCTGGCAATTGTCATTTCCTACAAGAGCAAGCTCTTTGACATTGATCAACACGGTAGCATCTCGATTGGCATCTTGCATTTCGAACATGTAGCTTTGGTCAATGGGGTGTACCGTCTAATATGCAGACTTGTTTGTCTTCTTTTGTACTTTTGTTGTTGCCCTTGCCCAAGGTGATAGTTGACAGACGCCGAATCCATCAAATAATAAGTTCCAACTATTGGTCAATTACAAACCAAATTGTAATAGCGGTAAGTTCACTAATTCCACAAGGACTCGGTTTAACTTATCATTGTCAAAGAACTAAAGTACACGAACGGGTAACTAAAAGTAAATACGAGGGGGGGTGGGTGGGGGTTGGATTTGATTAACTACACTGAACATGCGATAAAAACCGACTTAAAACAATAAATTAAAAACCCAACATTAGTTTGCTCCCGATTAAGATGCTAGTACTTATCATTGATTCCTAGAACGTAAGCATAAAGAACAAACCCAAATTGGTTATGGCCATTAACAAGCTCTAACAACCTGTATTTTTCTTTTAGATTCTCACATATACTACATCATGTTAAGTTCAATGTTTCCGATGAATCTTATATCAATTTCATGCTTCTATTTTTGAATCTTGTATCAAATTTACTAGAAATGATGAATTTTAAATAAAAAATAGACCTCACAAAATCCTAGGGTTTAGAGAGTTGTCAGCTGGCAAAGACAAAAATGCACTTTTCAGAGAACACGTGTCAAACTACGAGGAACTCGCAAAAACCAACTTTTAGAAAACCCCAGTGTTTTTCAAAGAGTTGTCATCTGGTGCACTTTTGGTCGGAATGCAAGTAAAATAGCAAGGAACAACACCAACAAATAAGTGTTCAATAACACTACTCATTTGCATTACCCAAAAGACGGTTAAAACCAGAGACCACCCTTCAACCTTTAGCCACCACAAAACTGCTCTACAAACTACATACAGAGCTTCATCAAAACCTCTCACTGCCATTATCCTCTTAATCACGGTCACGGCCAGCAGCCACCGTCGTTTGAAGAGGACACCCTCTTCTAATGACTATTAATACACTGTAGTAGTTGTAGAGTAATAAATAATGTCAGTTTGTCTGTAAAAACATATCTCCAGCCATCACGGGCCGCTGTAAAATGTTACAATTTCACAAGATGTATATACATACAGATACAGCAGTGTAAGAGTGACGAAAAGGAAACTGGCTGGATCATGGTTACAACTTCATAAATCAGACAACACCAAAACACCGAAAGTATTGGTTTTGAAGTGATGAGATTTTCTTGATTTTCACATGGCTAGCCACTTGTCCACCTGCGTTTTCTGGCAGGTCGCTCTGGTTTGATGGTTGAATCAGCGTGGGTTCCAACTTCATTTTCAATCTTTTTGATTGCCAGAGCTTCTTTTTCACTCGGCATAGGAAGTTTGAACCGCTCACTGCGCTTCTTCAGCTTCTCAACTGTGTCCAAGTGTTTACCCTCCTCACCTACTTTCACATCATCATTCTCTTCCACCAAAGGTTTTGCGTTTGATTTCTCGACTATTTCTTGTGGCTTGGAAGATTCGTCCACTGGTTTCATGGGCTGAGTGTCGTCATATCTACTGGTCTTTTCCACATTATGCGAGGAGGCTGATGAGTTAACACCTAAACTGAAATCAACATCCTTGTGGCTTGTCCATCTTTCCAGCTTGGAACGTCCTCTCCTCGAGTCTTTCCGTTCATCCTCTGGTGAAGCGTTTGCTCTGTGTTTTCTGGAAGATTGACGATTCAGACGCGTCTGTTCACTGTTTCCTTGCTCAAGCACGCCGGTCGAACTCACCTGATGGAAACCAAAAGAAGAAATAATAGCTGAGGGAAGGAAGCATAGTGTGCAGGGCAAGCCCCGCAAAAAGGGATAAGCACATACAAGTGCACACGTATATATATATAGTTTGAAATTGTTGAATATACAAGTTGAAGCTTTTTGGCAGCGAGTTCAGTAGGCATGTTTCTTCTGATGGGAATGAGGGTGGTGAAGAACAGAATAGCTATAGAGTTGCGACCATTACCAGAGAATAGAATCACATTAGATGGAACGTCACTATAAATGTAGAAAAGGAAAATGAGAGTAGTCAACAATAAAAAGGAGTTGACATATTATTTTTCTCTCTCAAGCCAGCAACCGAATGATTCGACCAGTTCTAGCAAGGATGGATTTATGGTTCTGTATCCTCCATAAACGGGCTTAATTTTATCAATCAACTAAAACAATTAATGTTAGATGAGGACTGTCATCTAGAAGGGAAGAAGGGCACATGTTCCCTTCACATTGGCAACACGGCCAAAGTTTTCTTTCACTTTTAGAAGGTAAAAGTTATCCACAATGTTCTAACCTTCGTTATTGGCATCTTTTTCTTAGTTTATTGACATTGTTTAGTTGCAACGCTTGGCTAGAGACAACCTAAGTTTGTGTTTTTTGTTATTTAAACGGTATCTTTCTATAATATTGAAGTTCACAAGCATTTGGAACTTTCTACAGAATTACCATTTAGTTGAGAAGGAAACAATTGGGTAACGTTTTCAACGTAAAAAGCAATCACAGAAGAAAAAGTGAAATCAAATCCTGCGTCCTTCGGAACATGGAGGAATAGTAATTTAAACTGGATAACAAATTATGAAATTACTTGACAAGAAAGGATGATCTTTATAGGATAAGCACAAGAGCGATATTTATTGACAACGAGTACTGCAAATATAAGAAAATGATTATTTGGATATTTATTGACAACGAGTGCTGCAAATATAAGAAAATGATTATTTGGATCTTCGACAAAGATGCTAAGATCTAGATTAGGGAACAAACGACATAACATGACATGTACAGTAAAATGCCTTAAGAGAGAAAAAACTAAGCTCATCATAGAAATTCATTACTTCATATCAAATACTAAATAGACCTTCCATAAACTACTCCAATCAGCAAATCGACCTTAAAAATTCAAAACTATAGAATAAAAAAAATGCTATATTTGAGCATGAACTAAAAAATTGCAAATAAGAACACTTAAAAGCATGTGTATGACTGTCGTTATGCTACACTCAAAGTAGATGCAGGATTAGTACCTAGAGCTATATTATCACCTATATCAGAGGTGATAATAAAATGCAGTATTGGACTCCTTCCACAAAAAAACAGCAACTTAATTATATTTTTGCATAAGTTCGCATTCTTCTTCCTTAGGCTCTGAGTGGAAGGAATTCTGATTAATTTTATTCAGTAGCTGTTTATATTTCTTTGCTCTAAACAATAGCTTCATTTATCACTGATTTTATAGAGCTAGATTTCTTCTTTCCTTATGTGGGATGTATAATCTTAATACACCCCATGGCATATAGAGCATTGTGCCTTGTACAGGATATACACCATATCAAATTTTCAGATGAGGGTCATATCTCATAACCATAAAGGTTACGAGTTAATTGGCATCGAAATCTTTCTTACTCATAGCTAGATTCTTTCTGAGGGATTTACAGTTCCATCAAGTCCCAACTCATCCCATGATCCAGAAAAGACAAGATCACCCATCTGCATCTAGTCGAGCTTTATGAGAATCTTTTAGCCTCTGTCAAGGGCCTTTTTTAGGTCAGAGGTCCTTGCAAATTCAGCAAATGCACATGCATTCATTCAGCACCTTAAAAATATTAGATATTCATGTTCGGAGATGATATATTATTACAGGTTGATATTTCAAAGTAAATGTGTTAAGAACACCTTGTCACCAGTAACCGTGAAATGAAACTAAATGCAATTTACTCTGAAATATCTTCACACTGATACTTAGATTCTGAGCTGCTAGATGGTAATTCTGAAAAAGTTAGAACATTTATTATGCCCAAAATAGTTGGCAAACTACCAACACCAGTTCTGGTGAAACAGAAAAAGAACCTTACAGGATTCGTATATCATCAGTGCGACTGCATGTGGATTGCATTTGTTTATCTGAACTTACACTAGCCAAAGTCCTCCATTCAAAAGGTTCAGAAACCATAACCATGTTGAAAAGGCATGCAATAAAGTAAATTATCTATCAAAACCATAAGTAGATGAAAACCTAAATCAAGATTCGTCTATACGCTTATCTGATAACAACGCGCATTCTATAACTTGTTACTGACGAGTGAATCTGAACAAGGTTTATTGGCCTTCCAAGGTCCAAGAGAACCGGTAAGTAACTAATAATTTGTTATTCAACTCTTTTCTAGAAGTACCAAGACATTCAAGATTATTGAATTACTGTGAAGATTTTTTCTAGTTATTTTGTTGTGTCTAGAGATGTACATACCCGCTCACTCTTCTGACTGTTGTGGTCTTCTCGATTCCTCCTTGAAGGAGCCAAAGAACTGTGAGCAACACCATCAGTTTCTTTACTCTTCCTTACGCTTTCTTTGGGTTTTTTATCCTGCAACCTATGCATATCAGTAGCACCGGAATTATGACCACTACCGGTATTTCCCCTTTCCTGCCTAGATATTCCTTCATCATCATTCAGCTTGTTTCCATGTGAATACGCATCTTCACGTCCTGTATGCCGCAGAAGGCCTTCATTTTCAATTCTATCCCTTCTACCTGGTTTTTCCCGGACTGTGTCTTTGAACTGATACTCTCTTTCCGTACTTCTGTAATCTTCCTTCAATCTAGAATGGCCAATCCAAGCTTTGTCTTCTACTGCTCGTCCACTTCTCATTCCTTCACGTCCTTCTCTTTCCTTCCACTCATTTCTTTCCCTTTGCTTTTCAACACTCTCCCTTGGTAGCAAGCCCTCTTCTTTATACCTGAAAGAGTGCTGGTCATCTTCCCTTAATCTTGCCTGCTCATCTCTCTTTCGCTGGTCCAAGTTATCATCTTTCTCTCGCTTCTGGCGACTGGTACTATCTCTATGGACATGCAAAGCTTCTTCTCGTTCAGTATGGCCCCCCCTCCAAGTATGTGCCTCTTCTTTCCTTCTTTTGTTGTGGATGCCTAATTCGTCATGGCGACTTTTTATGCTGCCATTGTTATGTTGGGATACCAAATCTCTGTCACGGTCACCTTTCCAACTACCATTTTCCAATACTTTCCTTGAGTAATGTTGATCTTTATCACTCCTCTCACTTTCTCGAATCTTATGCCGTTGTCTAGATGCCAATTCCTCAAGACGGTCCCGTTTCCTGATGTTTTCAGCCCTTGTCCATCCTACATGTAGATCCTCATCTTGCCATGCTCCTTCAGATTCTCTCCCCTTTTGTCTATAAATTTTTTCAGATTTTGAGTGATATGTAGAGTTAGAATCCCATTTTTTACGAGAATATGGATCTTCCATCCTCTCCATTGCCTTTCGATGTCTGTCACTCTCTTGTCTCTCATCACGGTCTCTACTTCGAATAGAACGCTCACCTTCACCGAAAGATCTCCTGGTGTTTCCACCGTGCACAGAGCTTCTGGCTTGAACAACTTCCTCCTCAACACTATTTTGCATGCTGCGTTGATCTCTGCTGCTTCCGGACCTTGCTTTGCTGTTATCACTACTTCTTGCAGTCCTCGGATCCTCTCTATTGTCAAACTTTTCAACAGAAGACCGTGCAGCTCGAGAGGTAAGTGTTTGGTTCTTCATGGGACGTGTTTGGTTTTCATCTTTAGAGGTGCCAGTGGCAGTTATATCTAAAGCTATCTCCTCCCTTTCAATTGCTGTGCTTCCATCAGCATCTACAACATCATCTTTAATAGCATCATTCTGGCTAAAGTCCTGGTCCTCCGCACTGCCATAAGTAAGACGAGACCTAGAAGGACTCTGCTTACCTTCAACATTGTCAGGTGATCCTTCCTTCTGATTATCAGCAAACTCCTTATCCTGAAAACTTCCATCATGAGCTGAATGGGGTGATCTGTCCTGAGCTCTTCTCTTTGTCCGCCTAAAATAATATTATGAAAATATCAATGACAAAGTAAAAAATAAAACTAGGGGCAAGTTCAGCAAGAAAACGACACAGCAGATGCTCTCTCAAGGAGCAAATTACATAAATCATATAAAAACACCCACATCACATAGATTACACGAGGTAACAGCTATGACCCATCATTGGAGCCGTATGTAACAAGGAACAAGAGGGCTTTCACCATTTTCAAAAAACTTGAAGCAATGCTGGAACTATATCAAGCAATATCACAACAAATGCTAATACTGTTGAATCGTGTGAAACTAGATGCACTTTAGGTTACATACAACTTAGTTCAGCGACTTGGAGGTCACATGTAAGGATGGCAACTATCAGTACATAATTAGTGTCTCGCACGCGAGTTGCATCTCGCAGGCATGGAATCGGGGGACTTACTTGGATTCTAGGGTTCCTTTTGACATGAGAACAAACAAAAACAACTTGGGATACATTTTCTCATGTGACCAGGAAGTCATAAGTTATTTGCTACCATTTGGATTGTTGTACTCAATCAGTTAAGCATTACTTCATAACTGCTACTTACTGATAATAAACATCCTCTCGGGTTTCGTAGGGAGATGTACACAATCTTAAGATTGTGGAACCACGTTATATGGTTATGTTGTTTAGCTTGCTGTCCACATCATTTATCATCACAAATTATATCACTTGTTGATCAGTACATTCCATTTCGGTGTTGGTTGTTTGCAACCACACTTGTTTGGTTTGGGTGGTGTTAGGGCAAATGGTAATTCCCTGCCAACAAATATACAATTGTTTCAATAATGGTCCTAAGAGATTCCTATTCAAACCAACAGTCTGTAAGACTTGTATCTCCTATAGGCATCAATTATCATAACAACCGACTAATCAATGTGGAAGCAAGAACCTATTAACACAATATGCCTCCTAGTCGTTCATTGCAGGCAAGCAGGCAGTTAGTTGTGCGCTATAGCGGTAGCTGTCATTCAGAAAATAGTGTTCTGCAGATAGCAGCTTGGAATAGTGGTAACGCATATTGCGGCGCTAAACACCGCTATTTGATCTGAAATAGCAGTCATTAATACCGCAATTTTTTTCCTGGTCTTTCTCTTGGTTTTTGGGCTACTTTGAGTGGGCTATTTTGTTCGAGACCAAAGTTACTTTCATTTAACCTAAACTTTAGGACTTCTATTTGACCCAAAGGACTTTTATTAGGATAAAACTTAAAAGAATTCGATCAATTCCAAATCCAGACCAATTTCACGCATCGCCTTCAAAAACTCCAATCGGTTCCACGCTCCACTCTCGATTCGGTGGAAACTTCATCGACTTGCACTCAATCGAACTCCCCTTCAACACATAACAGTTTAGCATTCAATATATTGTAATTAATAAGTAGTTTATTTTTCAATATATTGTTTGACTTGATATGTATTAGGTATACAATATATTAAGGGGTTGTTTGGTTGGTTTTCCATCAAGTCATGTATGAATAAAGCTGTCTGTATGGATTAATCTGCCTGAATAGATTGGAAAGGTTTTTGTTTAAGAGGGTTTTCCATAGATGGAATGAGCATGTCCTTTCTGCATTAAACTCCCCCTAGAAGTCTATATCATTAAGCCACTACAGAACAGTCATGTATAGCTGACCGAATAAGCTGCGAGTCCCATTAAGCTCATTAAGCTGCTAACAAACAGGCCCGATAAGTTATATATATATATGTGTGTGTGTGTGTGTATTCGTATTTATTTTATGAACCTAATTTGCTTTACCACTATGCCACCGCTATACCACCACGATTTCAAATCACAGTCCCGACCGCGTTTTCTGCAATCGACCACGTTAACAGCTTGGCATCAACATGATATTACATTGAGCAATTTCAAGGGAGAAAGCTCTTGAAACCGCCAATATAATCAAGAAGATAAAATGATATCCAACTAGTTTGGGATAAAGGCTTCTTGTTGTTGCTGCACCAGTATCTGCTAGTCAACTGAACCCTCCATAATGCAGATCACAAAACCAATATCTCGGTGCTTCCTCATGCATATCTGACTCTGGAAGCCATCATCATATGTGAGTTCAGAATAGTAGTTCAACTGCTAGAGATGTGATTTTCAAAAATTATTTTATCTTCAATACAGGCCCTCTCAATACTGAAGGCAAAAAAATCTTACAAGTTGTTAAACTAGGATACAACAAATGGAGTAGAATTGAAAACTTTCATTTTCCCAAATCTTGCTATTTTATTTATATCCAAATAATATCAGCCCTATAAGACTACTATTTTATAATCATATTATTTAGGCATATGAACTATATTGGTGTATCAAATTAAAGTAAATTGCATACCTCATGTGCTTCCAAACAGCACACTGATTCTGCACCCATACCATTAAAGCGAACTAGGTAAAATTGATCAGGGCATACATTGTTCTAGCACAAAGATTATTTATAACCATGGATCATTCCCATACAAAAGAAAGGCAGGCGCTGATACACATACCAATCTGAGAGCAATGCACAAACATTAAGATATTCCAAACAATGGGGTCCTATGAGGATACAAGTCGATGATAAGAGCATAGCGAATGAAGTGGTATAAGATTCTCGAGCAATCAGGTCTACATTAGATGGATATATAGCCTTGTACAACCAAAACATATGAGGATTTAAGTCAGAGGATAAGAGCACAGTAAATGAAGTAGTCAACTAGTCATACACATTAGCAGAGTGTGCAACCACAAGCTCCCAGCTTGGGTAAGTTCTATAGGACAACAGATGAGCAGAAAGAGCAGCCAAGGTTATAGCTAATGGAGCTGAGACATGTGTTAAGAGTTTGAGGACTGAAACGTAGACTACCACCTACACTAGCTGGTTAACAGGTAGCCCTGTTTATTAAAAAGTAGTTGGATAAGAAACACTTAATAGTCTTCTTAAAGAGAAGCTGTGCAATATGTTCAATCAATAATACAATGTTGCAGAATTTGCTAGAGCTATGGTACAATTACCAAATAAATAAACTTGTATAAGCTGAAGTAAAGACATCTGCAGCTGTTCCAATCCAACTGCTTAGCTTTTTGGAAAAGCTAGCAACGGAGGTTACGATCATAGAATAACAAAAACAAATTTTGATCCAGAAGGACGCTACTTGTGTAGTGAGAACACATATAATATACTCCAAAAGCAAAACCAATCCAGAACAATGGCTTTCTGTACACCTAAGTGATTAGATGAGAAACATATGTCAGGATCAGTTCTTTTTTTTGCATGCTTTCAAATGGTGTAATGAAACTACCCAGTGTGGTGAACTTAGTCGTGCAAATCACAACCTAAAAGAAATCCCATCAGATTTTGGCTTTGCAAAGATGATGGATTAGAAGGTAGTCCTTATTTGGTGGAAAAGCTTAGAAGAAATAGAACAAAGTCACGAAATTCCCATCCCTGTGTCTAATTGAGCCAGCATACATGACCCTCTATCATGCTATAATATATTGAAGAAGTGTCTAAACATGTCTCCTTAGTACCCTCCCCCCAACTGTCTGCACCTCGTGACTTCACTTCTAACCCACCCACCAAAAGCAACACTAAAAGTTGATATATTTTCACAAGGTGGGGAACAACCACATGCTCAAGGAAGTGCATGATATGTCATGCAACAATATATGATACCTCTCATTGTGATTATGAGGAGACTTGAGCTTCTTCCTGGGATATGCACAGGTCTTTCCCCTTGAATCAGGATGATCTCCAACCTGTGCTTCTGAATGGAAAGGTGATATCCTATCTCCTGCAGTTGTCTCATCATGGATAGAACCCACAGAAGGTGCTCTTCTTCCTACGCCTTCCCTCTTCCTGTCATTATAAGCCTGCAGGGTTCTATCAAAATGATCACCTACTGAAGCATTGTCTTCTTCAATTTCGAGGCCTTCTGTGGGATTTTCTCTTGAAGGATCATCATCAGGCTGTTCTGCAATATCATCTACTGGAACAGATTCATCATCTGCAGAGCCTTGCAAGATAATCTGTGAAAGAAAAACATCAACCAAGTTGGCAAGATACACAAATCAGCTATTTAAGTAGGATAGGATACAGAAAAACAATTTTGACCATCACCTCAATAATAGCATCTGAATCACGGGGTCGTGGTGGCCGTGTATCAATGGATGGAAGACGTTCACCAGAACCAGTTTCTACCTGTATTGCTCTTCCAGCTGGCTGGAATGTCAAGATATCAATTAGTTAAATTGCCAATTCTGCAATCATGAAACCTTTTTGTCTCATCAATATAACATACTAAATCTGATGGCAAAACTATTGGAATATGTAAACTGAATCAGGATCTTCAAGATGCTATTTTCTTCATACCAGTTGCATCCGACTACGTGTAAATCCCTTTGCTAAGTTGCCATGTATATTGGCCTTTCCAATATTTTGATTTTCGGATGAGATGCCATGAATGCCTGCTGCTGCCGCTAGCTCTGGGGGCAGGTCTGGATCATATTGCTGAATAACATAAACATATTATTTCTTCATGACTCATTATCACGAATTACGCAATCAATATCACAAAAGCAGCAGATACCTGTTCGGTCCTCCCACTTTCATAGACACGAATTTTGCTTTGCATAGTCGCCTCCAGGCGAAATTGGTCCTACAAAGTATACAAGCACGCATACATCATGTCTTTAGAATAGTGAGATATATGTATGCATACACAATCTCAAGCTTCAAAAAATATGCATCCATCACTTACCAGCTGTTTGCAGAATTCTTTCCAGCTTTCCTCATTCAAACCAAAGTTGAAAAAATCTGATATATCAATACCTTGGAGTCTCCATGGTTTTTCCTCAAAACCATCAATGTCAACTTCAAATATAGTCCTGAGAAAGCAACAGGATATTAAAAATGGATACACAAAGTTTCAAATTTAGTAGTGTCATATAGTAGTAGGAGACCCAAAAGAGCTAGTGTCAGATATTATAATGGTAGAAAATGATATCTTGTGAAGACAAGGTAATTGTCAGGACCGGCTTAAATTAAGCACAAAAAGCATCAGTTTCACACTCTGCATTAACATCATTTGTATGATGGTCAGAGTGTGCATGTTTAGAACAAGGAAAGAACACCATATGTCATACAAAATTTTATGATTACATATTTAAATGAATGATCTACCACATACTAAGAGAAATTTTTCCACCAACTTTAGGAAATCTAAGACAATCGTAGCCAAAATTTACACACACACACACATATATATATATATATATATATGTATGTATGTATGTATGTAGAAATGTGTTTAGTTGATTGGTCAAGTTCATTGATGATATATCAACAAATAGCTACCAAAAGAACTAATATTTCAGAACCAATAATTAAGTCATTTTCAAGACTCCTAGCTGAAGCGTTGGCATAATATTACATGAGCCGTTGCTATAAACACATTAATTTAATTAATCAAGTTACAGACCTTCATAATAATGACTATCCATGGATTCTTAATCGGGATTTTAACTATAATTCTGTAAGCCAAGCCGCTCAACTTTTTTGCTTGGGATACACCACAAATTTGTAGTTTTTGACACATACCAGCAGTCCAGCATGGAGCGATATACCAGAACTAAGAAGTGTTATCATATTCTTACATCACCAAAGGCTATTCTAGGTAGTCAAATTTGGAAGTAGCAAACAGTCATACTGAAAAGAAGGGAACATGAACTTATTGATTATGGGCTATGGCTATGAATTTAAACACATAGTCCTAATGTTGAATACTGTCATGGTATGTGGATGATTAGAGAAGTGCATGCATATCCTCTAATAAATAATGTTTCAACTGAAATCTGAAGTCTGAACCAGGTCTACGAATAACGCACATTATACTTGACCATACCCTTCTAACCTTTGAATATGATACCAGAAAAAACTTAAAGGTTTGATTGAAGAATGTGAGTAAGGTTGAAGATAGTTATGATATGATCTTTTTGAACAGTTGGTGACTAAAGCTAGAGGGAATCATAGAGTTCAATAACATCACCAAGTGATCTGTTACTGTCTACAAAAGATTAAAAGACAAAAAATAGATTCAGCATTAAGTTGGCATATGAAGATGTTGGAAGTCCCTAGGTATGAGGAACATGGCACCAAACTAGTGTTTAAAAAATTTACAACCTAACAGCTTAAGGTGGAAAAGAGAAGGCAACAAAGAGTAACAAAAGTCTTTGGGTTAAGACAAAATCAGAACAATAGCCCAATAACAGAACTTATAGTATCATTCAATCGATGAATGTGGACTCATTTTTTGTCTCTAATTTCAATCTTGAATTTTGAATATGCTGCATTGTTTCTTATTCATAATTCAGAATGTATATTTAACATTCATATTTCATAATCAATCCGCAGTAATATCTTCTAAGGACTGTTTGTTAAGGTCTGAATGGGTTGAATGAAATTTGACAACTATGCCAGTCAGATGTGGTGTTGTTTATTAGAAAAGCCTAAAAAAACCTTAACCATTAAGATGAAAACTTAATTGTTATGATTACCTTAATTGAATTCGCTAATGTAACAAAATTGCCCAGCTGATAAATTTTACCCCTTCATCTACATTCATCTCCTATCTACGTCAACTTTTCCAATCTCCACAGTTGTAGCCAGCCTTATTACTTCAGGTAGGTACTAAGTACTTCATCTTCATTCTTCGGTTCTTAATTCTTTCAATTTCAATTGTGATTTTTAGGTTTATGCCATCACCACCGCTAGTGAGTAATTTCAACAAACGTTAAACAGTATTCAAGTCTACATAGTCTAATGAGTTTCAGCATTATACAACACCCACAAATTTATCTCGATGTTTCTATTAAATTGTTCTATATTTAAGTGTTATTACTTAACCGTTCAAAATATGTTTAGTGAAAATGAACATATATATTTACCTCAAATAAATAGTCACTTTTTATTGTACTTTTTCACTTTGTATGGGCTGTTTTATCTCTTTAACGAAGAATTCATGTGGGTTACCGTAACCGTGGGGGTTACCGTAACCGTGGCAGTTCTTTAGCTAAATATTTTTGTTGTATCCTGTTTTATGTGTGAGAATGTATATGTTGCACTGACGAAATGACACTCTTTTATGATGCTTGTGTATGCTTACAACCATGATACCATGGACTAATTGATAAGAGAGTAAATTGGGTATCTTAATTTATGTAAGCATGAGTATGGGGGTGTCTGTTTTTAACTTAATAAGCTTAATGGGCGGTTAGCTTAATTGGTTAAGTTATATTAAGGTGTTTGATTTTAACTTAATACTAAGAGATTGACTTAATATGTTAAGTTAGCTCATCCTATCTTAATGCATTAAGTTAGCAACTTTTCCAAACTTGTTCTACAATTTTTAATCACACATCTCATAAGAAAATAAGTAGTGTACCAACATGCATAAATTAAAAATTGTAATCAAACAATAATATTTTATTGTTTTAAATATATTTTAAGTTATTAAATATTGTGTTATGAACTCGTTGAATTCATATTATTTATGTTATTTTAAATAATTGATATTCTTTTAAATTTTGTCATTTCAAATATTTATCAAACAGTTTATTTTCATTCAAGACTTATATAGACATAAGGTTAAAATGGTAATTTTTGTTGTTCGGATTATTTATACAGAACAAAAATCAAACAACAATTTATCTTAATTTATCTAGACAGATTAATGCTTAGAGGCAACTTAATAGATTCAGAACTTAGTGGATAAAAAAAATCAAACAGCCCCTAAATGGAATTCTTTTGACTATTTACGAAGCTACACCTTTTTCCTTCTGTTTAGGCCCTCTGGGGGTAGGAAAATCATGATCGGGATAGCAGACAAAAAGCTATGGAACTTGGGTGTGGGTCTTTTGTCGAAATGGAATGGCCTTTTTATTTATTATTTATCGTAAATGAGTGAAGCATTACACATTATATGCCCGTCCGCCATCAGCATATTTTTTTTTGTTTTAGGCGCCTGTAACTCTTCCTCAGCCAGGATGGGGCAGAATAGAAGAGCAAGTACAAGTATTAGTAGCATAACAAAAATGCATTCCTCGTCGTTAACATGTGATGTATGTTTGCTTGATGATTGTGTTATGTAACTGGTTGCTTCAGTTAAGATGAGATCTGGGATTATGAAGTCAGAGAAGTATTTCAACATAACTTGTGAAGCAGTTGGGTAGCTTAGTTTACAAAAATAACGTGAGCAAAAGAGATCACTTTGACTATGTAATGTACGATAGTCAATATGTTGAAGTTTCTTCTTGATATCATTGCACTTCAGTTTGTTGCTTGTATAATTCCATATCAATATCAAAAACTACAGCTATTTCTTCTTCTTTGTTGCTGTGTTGTTAAGATGGGTTCTCCAAAAACATATTTCATTTACCACAAGGGTATACTATCTTCCAAAAATATAGGTTCTTTTTCACCTCAGGATTTGAAGTGGTTTCAACCAAGTATTTTATATACCCTTAGTATGGAATGAAACTGCCTCCACCTCATGCTGTGTTTTTGTTGGTTCAGAATGGAGTAAAGTTTTCAGCTTCTGTAGAAAGTATGTTTTATTTTTGTTTCATTTTTTGCAATGTTGTTGAAAATTTCAATTTGTAGGAAGTTTCAAGAGACAGTTAGATATTTGTTAGAACCACCCAGCTGCTGTTAAAGATCCAACTGGCTGATTATGACTACCTCCACTGCTGCTGAGTTTTAGGTCAAAGGAATGAAGTTTGAACCACCTTGTACAAAATTTATAACGCTGATTAATGTGTAAACATGATGTACAGAATTTGGTTTTTGAGGATTTTATATAGGGGCTTAATCATTTGAGAACTCCAAAATTTGCGAGATCCGTGAGAACTTCTACCTTGAGGTTTTGTTTCACATGAATATTTTTCCATCTAAGCATAGTATTTAATGATTAACATATATTTGTTTAACAATGCGTTTGTTTCATATGTATTCGATTCACAGTGTGAAACTTTTTTACGTGTACTTTTGTTTGACAAACATGCCAAAAAGGTTCACATTGTGAACCGAGTACATGTTAAACAAGCATATTGTGAAACAAATATATGTTAATCAATTTTCTAAAATCTAGTCGTAGATGAAAAAGATTATATGAAATTGCACATGATGCACAAGTTCTCAAGGTTATCAATTTCATGAGTTCTCAAAAGAAGCCCCCCCTCTCTATATATATATACATACATATATATATGTGTGTGTGTGTGTGTTACTTCAAGATAGAACTATGTAGCTTTAATTGGATTACTATTATTTAAGGGATCACTCAATTCTGTCGATTGGTATCTACATGATTGGGCGGTTTGTATTCCTTCTCATTGATTCTTTTGTTTTTATGTTCTCTCTCTCTCTCTCTCTCTCTCTATATATATATATATATATGTGTGTGTGTGTGTGTTTGTTGCTTCAAGATAGAACTATGTAGCTTTAATTGGATTACTATTATTTAAGGGATCACTCGATTCCGTTGATTGGTATCTACATGATTGGGCGGTTTGTATTCCTTCTCATTGATTCTTTTGTTTTTATGTTCTCTTGATTCATATTTTGGTTATCAAATTGTTGATCAACTATCAACAAACGTTTCAAATTGGGATGTAATTATTGTATCAATGTTTTGTTGACATCATCCTCTACTTATACTTTAAGTTATCATTAAAATGTGTTGTGATAAGATCATTAGACATTTATTATTCGGTTTTATCAAATAGTCTTCTTGTTCTAAATGGTTTAAAGAGAAAAGGGTAATTTTCTAGCATTAAGATCATTTATCACATTGTCATTTAATTTGGCACTAATTCAAGACGTAGCCTCTAATTCATTCAGGCCTATTATTCATTCCACTTATCAAGTAGATCCTTAAGATAATGATAGGTTAATCCACAAAATAAAAGTTTGTCTCAATAACAATAAACCTTCTATTCAGAACTAGTTGTATGGCAAAAACGAAACCAAAACTTATTATAGAAAGATGCAACCCAAAAGCAAACATAAAAACGTGATCACCCCCCCCCCCCCCCCAAAAAAAATGATGCTCCCACACTTCTTTCAATGCACAAAGTAATATCAATAACATGGAGTTCATTAGATAGGTTTTGGGTTTCTGGATATCTATATAAGCACACAGTAAGGCAAAGGCCCCAACCTCCCCACACATATTTTAAAAGGCTGCTTTTTTATTTATAATCCAAGAATAACCGTCTTAATCCATCTAAATTCTCAGCATGGCAAACTTACATTCACAACTGTAGAATTTTGACATTTAACTTGCATAGGAAGCAAGAGGAACTTTGAAAAACTTAATAGAAAAGAAATTACATTGTACCTAAACAGTATAATAGTATTAGATAAAAATCTAGGAGGCTTGTATAGTTGTATATAACCAAATAGCTTATCAAGAAGAATAGTAGTATGGTATGGTATTTACTTATGTGAAGGAAGGGTGAACTCCAGTCCTCGCACAGCTCCATTGTTTCCCCAACCGGGCATCCCTTGACCTGGGTGGAAGTTCTTCTGCATCGGAGAAACATTTCTTAATCCTGCTGGCCGCCAATCACCTCTACCACGACCAGTGAAAGGTGGCACACTTGTAGGTGGACGAACTTGGCCTGGGGCTCCACCAGTTGCTATGGGAGCTGCTCCAGGCACACCAGGTCTCACATACTATACATTTGTTTAATAGAGTATTAAAAGTTATACAGAGATTAATATTATTAACAAATAGAGCACAAATAGATAGCAGAGCACGCATGCAAATAAGCTAATAATGTCAACCACAGAGAATGAAGACTATACAAAGGAAAACAATATTAGATCTCACATACTGTATTCAAACACTCCCATACATTAAAACATGATACCCATAATTTGCTTACAGAACCAAGCTCATTATCATTATTTCATCATCTGTTGCTAAATCTCATGATACATCCTTTCACCAAATAAGCCATGAAGAAATACCCAAAAGACAGAAGAAAAATATTAAGTACTTTGATGCAAATTTCATATGAAGCAAATTATGGAAAATATTATTGAGAATTCAACCCATAATCGTATTACCATGGGAGATGTAGTTGTAGAAGTCAAAAGCCAGATTAGCACACCCAGCCATATTTTGTCATTTTGTGCATCAGTATGTTGTTCTAAGAGAATAAATGATATAAAAACTGTATGCTGTTAACCGTGTGTATCAATTATGTAGTTTTTGCATCGACAGCTATCATAGCAGTGAACATAGATTGTGAGTTTCTCAAACTAGTTGGAAGTACATAAACCAAGATAACCAAGATGTTCTTCACAACTTGTGCATCATGTAAAAAGTAGAATTATTATTCATCTCAAAGCTTCTTCCTAATAGTTACAGGAAAGGTTATCTAACACCTTAATGAATTAGCAACAACAATCATTTTATCCCAAACTAATTGGGGTAGGCTAAAAAAGGTAACCAAAAAACTTATAGAACTGTGCAAGCTAAAACTAAACATTAGACCTTGAAACCCAGGATTTGGGACATAAATGGCAACCTTCGACACACTCATATCTAGGTTTAACTCATTTGGTAATCGGTATGCATCAACCATGTAAATCTCTCTCAACTGGTTCTCCCATGTCGACTTGGTTAACCTCTACTTCTAACAACCTCTCCGTGGTAAAAGTCTCTTCAACTGGGTGTCTTTGGATGTATATGTTGGGGATAATCAAAGCACCTCAAACAGTGTTGCCTCAGCTTTTCCTCAACCAGTGCCACACCAACCTTATCTCGTATATCCTTGTTTCTAATTGTATCCCTCGGTGTCTGGCCATAACTTATCTTGACGTTTGCATTCTGCTACCACCATTCATACTCCTATCTTGCACCATAATTAATGCACAGTGCAAGAAAATCAACAGTACCTTCAAGAGGCTATTAGTATCTAAGAGTAGCCAATAATCTTCACTGAGATATTTAAAGAGTAGGCCACAGACCCAAACAGAAGCTAATGCATTGGAATCCCAAAATACATATTCAGCAAGGAAGAAAGCATTTCCATTCATTGATGAGAAGGAATCGGTACAAGATGATAACCAACTATATAGTGGTCATGCTCATTCAATTCCTTACAAGATGATAACCAACTTTTCTAACTAGGTATCAGTCTATTGTGGAACAATTTACATTTCAAATTCAGCCGACACTTGTTACAATTATGACTGACCTTGAACTGAGAATGAAACGGATGATAACCATGAATACTGTATCCAATCTTGGGTGCAATCACAGCTCCTACACCACCATTGGCTTTCGCGGCATCACCCACCAATAGATCTTTTCTACCTCCCCCTCCTTCTGCAGCCTGACTAGCATCTTCACCCCAATCTTGCATCTCTTCCATTGCTTGATGATCATGATGATGATTCGGATCATCATTATCACCCAGAATGACCAAATTGTCCTCGCCTTCATTATCCGCATCATCTGCGCCTCCACCTCCCTCCATTCCCATCAGACCCCCACCATTATTATCATTCAACAGAATTTGCAAATCATCCTCACTGTCGCTATCATCCCAGTCGTCATCACCTTCCCCTACTTCACCACGCTGTTGTGAAACCCTAGCTTCGGACGACGACAACCCCGGAATTTTCAAGTCTTGCTCACCTCCGGTATCTTCAATCCCAAAATTACCGTCCAAAGCCTCCTCCTTTACCTTAGTATCATCATCCATATAATTTGAATCTTCTTCAAAACCCTTCTCTTCCAATTTAACCAAACCGCTACTACTTGCTCGTAAATCCACCGCCGGCGCCACCTGCTCTCCCAAGCACTCTTCAACCATGGCTGAATTTCCATCGGTGTTCAAGTTCGGATTTGAACCATTCTGGGCCTTGTTTAATTGATTGGAACTAGTAGCACCATAAAGAATTTCCTCATCATCGCTGGGAATTGTATTCTTGGGATCCATCGAACGGTTAGGCGGCTGAGGAGGTGCGGACGATATCGTAAGGGGCTGGAGTACATCGGAGTACAAATCTCCAAACTCATCGTCGTCTTCCATCAGAGAAGAGTATGTTAGGGTTTTGAGAAGATCGTCAAGATTTGCTAACAAATTGGATCAATTCATTGAAACCATTTCTTTTAGTAGTTTAAATACTGATGACTACTTCGAATGATCGATAACACGAGAGATCGAAAGGGCCATTTTTCTTTGTTGCAGTCAAGTTTAGGGTTAGATCATTTTAACGTAATCAACTATAGCACAAGTATTTTGTTTAAGTAACGTATTTTTATTGGGCAAATGGCCTTAACAATAAATCAAATTTGGGTTTATTTCTCAATGTGACATTCAGGTCCGATAACGAATCTGTTAAAATTGAAATCTATCAAATAAATGTAATATAAAGTAACCGAAATGGAATTTAATTATATTTGATAGGAATTTGACTGGAATAATATCAAAAGATATTTAAATAATAATGGTGTTGTGGCGATGGTGACAAATGGTGGTGGTGGTGACGGGGAGAGTGGTAGTAATAACAACCATCATGGGAGGATGAAATTAGGGTGAGTAGAACTAGAAAAAACTGAATTATCCGACCCAAGATTCTTTATTTTATTTGACATCCAAAACCTGAAACCACCTGAGGCCCAAACCCGTAACGTTTATTGGATATATATGATCGGGTTGGGTATCCAAATCATTCCCCCCCGACCCATCTGAATACCCAACAATTACATTATAAATATTTTTCATTTTTTCCTCATTTTCCTTATTTCCTCTTTTCTCAAAATCCTAACAATTTCACGACTAAACCTGATACGGACTCTATATCATCGCCACTCATCAATTTTTCACCCTTCGCCGCCTCACAACTCCTCACCGTCTCCCCCCCCCCCACAACCCACCATTCGGTTTCAACTTTCAATCGATTAGTCCTTCCATGCAAAGACGAGCGGGATGTTGAGTAGGAGCTAGCTTTTGATGGATGTTANATATTTTTCATTTTTTCCTCATTTTCCTTATTTCCTCTTTTCTCAAAATCCTAACAATTTCACGACTAAACCTGATACGGACTCTATATCATCGCAATCCATCATGTTGTTGCCCATCGCACCAACACTAGCCAACCGCACCAGCCAGCACCCAACAACCCACCATTCGGTTTCAACTTTCAATCGATTAGTCCTTCCATGCAAAGACGAGCGGGATGTTGAGTAGGAGCTAGCTTTTGATGGATGTTAACTTGTTTTGTGTGACCTTCATGGTTTGTTGCTATATACTCACACTCTATGTATTTATATATACCGATCAACACATTTTCCATAATCAAGGCTCGCCATCTATGTACATTTTTATATCATGCTCTAAATTTAATTATCTTTTCTTTCATAACAAATATTTCAAAGAAAAAAATCGCCATCTTTGAAAAGTATTTTAGACATTTCACTTACAAGTCATATAGTTCAATAGTTATAAATATTGCAGTTCAAATTCGACATCGTTTAACTTAGTTTCAGGGTCATGGATGCCACTAGAGAAATGGAAAATTAAACATGGAATTATACCTAGAAAATAGAAGATGCAAAAAAAAAAATTAAAAATCACCGGGGCACGAAACCTGACCTGAACTACCTGAAACCTGAATCAACCTGAGACCCGCATGTGTTTATCTAAAAAAGTGTGGGTTTCGGGTTCCAATAATCCCCTTCCCCCCCCCCCCCCCCCCCCCGAAATCCATCCGGGTTTAGAGTGTTAGGGTCCGAACCAACCTGTCCATTACTCAGCCTTAGATGGTATGAAATATAGAAAATATAAAGAGTATCATAGTTTTTCTAAAAATGTGATGAAACAATTGAAATTTCTTGCTAGAACCTAAGAAATTCACGTTCCACGATATCTGAAATCCGAATTCTTACCAAAACTCAAAGAAAGAAAAACCAAAAGGATCCAAATTTCGTCGTACTCCAACAAACAAAATGTCACCTTATTTTCAGCTTTAAAGTTTCTATTTTAATATCTAAAATATAAAAGTAAAATAGATAAATAGGGAAACACGAGTTCAAAAATCTTATTTAAAAGGTAGCCGGGTATCTTAAAAATGAGCTGGATATTAAATGACCATATGGTCATCGATTAAACTTGTTATATCATCGTCTCCTCATCGGTTATCTCAAAAAGAGTTAGGTTAGAGACTTAATTCGTAACAAAAAGTGATTTTATTTAAGGCACTTAATCACTAATTTTTATATGACCACATGCACGATCTTTGTAATTTTGTCGTATTTGTATTTGAAGGTACGTTTGTTGGAAGAAAGTAGTTACGGAATTATTAGTATGGGTTGCAAACATCGACTATATTGAAAGCAATCGACAGAAACGTAAAAAAAGAACACAATAAAATGCGGGAATATCTTTTATTATAACAAAGAGAATAACTCAAACTCTGTTACAATTGTTCCCTCTCTCGATACCATAAACTCGATATCTAGACATCTATATATACTAGATGCGTGCATGTGGATAACCACAAAACTAGGACTTTGAGTTCTATTATAATACCAACTTGTATTAATAGATACTGATTATCTTAACACCCTATTGTGCAAGGCTTATCTCGAAACCCCTTAATCCCGGAAATTACTAACAGATAACACCAAACTCGATACAACCCAGAAAACCGAGATCGAAATCGAGTAGAAACTTAGTCAAAATCGCCCAAGACCCAAAATAAACTCGTACATAGTTTGTAATGCGGATAAACTCGAACTCTCTACGGAAACAATAATCAACAAACAATAAACGCAGTTTGGCGAAAATAAATAAGAGATAGAAAACAATATCGGATTTACGTGAAAAACCCAAAACTAGAAAAAGCACAGGCGGAGGAGACCGCCGAGAAGTCCGTTATATGATCAATGTTTGCATTACTTCATAATGGATAAATCAGATGAAGAAATTACAGATTATATGTTAATCGAAGGTGTTGATACTTCTCCTTTTTTACTCTTGGTGCTTACAATGAACCCACTCTCGTGCATGCATTTTCTGGGACAAATTAATTACAGTATTTTTGTCAGTTTGTAATTTATTTATATGATCATCAATGTTATTTGCAGTTCAAAATGAACTGCATGTATATATAAAAATTACACGTCTATAATTATAATGTATAAAGGTATTTGACAATGTTTATTCACATATTAATTTACACAGAAACGAGAATTACACTGTATATTCATATATGATTACAGACAAAAAATAATTACAATGTATATTCACTAGTTGTGTACCCGCGTAATGTGGCGGGAGCTATGAATTTTAACGATTTTGAAGTTTTACTGGTTTTATAAGATAAGATTTAACGATGATATAGGTTACACTTGGTCTTTACATATTAATACAATTTGAATAAATAAGAGTTATGGTTCCAATTACAGACTATCGATGAAAAAAATTGTATGACAG